AAGAAAACTAATTTCTCACAGCAAATTTATAACTATCTTATAAATACATGTTATATATAGTATATATCTATCCCATCTATGCCATATATTATATATATTTTTTTTTATATATATATGAACCCCCTTCATGCACTCTGTGTTCCAGAATAAGTTATATATTTTAATTCCTGGAACTCAGATGTTGGAAGCACAATCATTGCCAGTTGTAGATGTTCTTTATGGACTTCACTAATAACAGATGCCTGTTATTTTGTACTGCTTAGAATATTAAGAAAAAATAAACTTAATAGAACTCAAGCAATGAATGTACTGCTGCTTGAAACCTACTCTCCTATACATCTGAAATCACAAAAATAAGGAGCAAATATTGTCCCTTTTTATGTAAAAGCTAAATTTATATTGGACTAAACGTAAGTTGAATCCAAACGGCCTTAGATATTTCTTTTATTAAAAAATAAAGCCTGGCTTTCTCAGTCTATTTCTAGATAATGCTTCTGATTTATTAAAGACTGCAATTTCAGAGTAACCAATTTTTATATTAGTGCAGTTGCTGAATTTTATAACTATAACTGGAGGTAAGAACATATCAGCAAATTTTTCTCTGGGTGCTCAAATATATTCACAGCAAAACTTTGCAGTCTTGCTCTACTTGCTCAGTTGTATCTTCAGCTTTTTTCAGTATTGATTTCTGTGGTGGAGTAGGGAGGAAATTGAAAAGTTGGAAGGTTGTATGTACTTCAGAGGGCAGGGTCACAACGGAGAAGTTAGAAGTCAGCCTGTCATGGAGCTGAACTTCTCAAAATCTCTAGATAATAACACGCTAGACAACTTCTTCGGGAAATGTGGGGACCTTCCATGCTGTAGTGGGTCACCAGGTAATTATTAATAGTTAGCAACTTGATTACATCATAACTCAATGCCGTTTCAGAAAGATGAGTATTATGCTGGAATTTAGTAACAGGACTGATATATGACCTTGGGAATCATTCATTTTTATGGCACTGGGCACAGGTGAGGCCAACATCTATTTATAAGACAAGTCAATGAAATAAGAGCAAACAGGAGGTACAGAAAACATAACCAATGAAGAAAGCTTAAAACTTAAAGTGGAATTGTTTACTGTATATTACAGCTGAACTAACTGAGAAAGGCTTATTTTCACACCAAGTCCTGCCCACTCCCTTCTCCCTGATCCCATCAGTAAATGCTTCATTATAAAAGACTTCACTCTGCCAGTACCAAGTCCCCTTCATTTTCAGAATACCAGCTACATCCCTGAGATTACCAAAGGTTTCCAAATCAGAAAAACTCTGCTTTCAAGAATTAGCATCATCTTAGAATTAGTGTCTCCTTACCATTCATGCATATGAAAAAAAGTCATAAAGCTGTCAAGTTTGATAGGGATGTAGCCAGATCTCACCACTTTATGCCACGGTCTTTAAAACACATTCTGGTGAGTCTAGTCAGAAAGACCAGCATTCATATTACCTGCTCTCTATGTGTGTACCAGACCACATGTACATCAGACTATCCATCTTGATGGGATACGTGTTTCCTTTTCCTTTTTTCATAGTAACCTGAATAATAGCATTAGTTTATAGCATGAGACTGCTTCCTTCTGTCTTTCATACTTCTTTGTTTTTACAGTGTCAGAAAGATTATGTTTTGCTCTACTTATTTTCTGCATGTTTCAGAATAGTGATAAAAGTTACAATTTGTAAGTGTATATTACTTGGTGTTTGTTGGATGTGTTGTTACCAATTTTGACTTGGTTTTGGGGGATATTTTGCAATTATCCTTCCAGAAAGATGTTATGCTTTGAAAATAAATGGAATTGCTGGGGGGGGGGGGGGAAATTACAAATAATAATTAGTTCACAAGTTTGTTTCACTAACTTTTATGCAGTGTCAGAGTATCAGAGGTCCCTGGCAGGCCAGGTCAGAAAATAACTACACTAAGGAAAGGTGTAATGAAAAGAGATTCAGCTCTCTCATTGCAGACTACAAGGTGGGAAGCATGCTTGGGGCGAAGACGGGGACTGGCATATTTGTAGCATATACGGAGAATTTGGACCATGATGCTTCCAGGATCCACTAAATTAAACCAGGAACTACTCTATTCCCTGGTGTACCCCAGAACAGTGAGCCTGCAGAGAAGGCTTAATTTGAACAACAGCTACTAGTTTTTGAGAAGCAAAGCACGCATCTCTCTTTTTCTTCCACCACTACTCTGAACACACTAAGTTTGTTGTAAATTCTTTGCCTTCACCTAGACTGCTCAGATTGATGCGTCGGATCACATGACACATGCATGCTCATTGTGAGTTACCCTACCTCATTTTCCAAGTGCTATCCCTTTGTTGAGTGTCGTGTTCCCACAGGGAGTGTAAACAGAGTATAAGAGTGCTTTTAATTTAAGTTTGCTGCCACCTCGGGGTGCAAAGGCAACTGCTGGGGTTAGCCCAGCTCCTCATCTATATTGACAGAATGCCCTCAGCCCATGCAGTGTGAGTACTGCTTCACAGCATGGCTGCTGTCACATTCATTAACTTATATTTAGAGGGGTTGTCTTGAGCATAAATGCTTCTTTTCAACTCTGCAGAGGAAGATGCCAGGGGACATTATTCCCTCTTCTCAATGCAGGAGGAGGATGAGAAGGCATTAGAGTCAAAGTTTTCCCAACGTTTTAACTTGCCTGTAAAATATAAGGGATTGAAAAGAACAAAGGAATGGGAACTGCAAGAGTGACAAATTGAAAATCTGCTAGGTGTTGTGGAAAAGCAATTCACCTCAAGGAAATAGCCTCAAAGCCTAGGGTTTTCTTGCCTACCTAAAGATTTTGCTTATCCTTTAATCAGAAAAAGAGTGACAGTATCATTTGCAAAATGAATTATTTTTTAAAAAGCATTTCAGCAGTTGAACTATGCATGCTGTGAACAGTTCAATTGAAAATAATTGTGTTCTCATTTTCACATCTATGAAATGTATTAAGAGTAAGATTTGCCTTATAGCTAAACAGCAGACACAGAACCAAAGCCTAGCCTTCTAATCTGCCCTGCAGCAGCATTACTAAGTCAATGTGTGGAACCTTTGGTGCTGCATCTCATCAGAACTGCAGATCAAGCTGTCACTGTTTGAGAGTTTTGAGCTGTGGCTCTCAGGGACAAACCACAAGCTGTCAGTAGCATGCACAGCGGCTTGTAATCATACTGTGAACCAGCAACTCAAGTCATTCCTCTTCTGTCAGAACTTGCTGGCCTGTGCTCTCTATATATTGAGAGTTGGGGCAGGTGTTGGTTTAAAAATCTGTAACTGTTTTAGTTTGATTTTATTTGATTCTTAAGCGTGTGAGGAATAACTTTCTTTTTCTTTCTGACTGTGGCATGGGACGCACGGTTTCTGTGTCTGTGGGAGCTAATTAATGAAAATGTTCCAGCAGCTTATTGATACTTGTTAAGCTCTGTGCGCCTTTAGAATAAATGTTTTATGAATGAGACACCAAAAGAAACAGTATAAAAGAAACCTGAGCCAAAGCTATCACCTGTTCTCACAGTGGAGTGCCCTGCCTTGCTCTTGGCCAGCTGCCCTCTTGGTCTTCTCAGACCGATTTCCTCCCTTTTGCAGGATGAACAGCTTACGGAGTACCCTCTGCGTGACAGTTTATAACAGCAAAAGAAGTCTGTAGGTTTCCCCTTGCCATCCAAGAGTTGACCAAAGTGCTGCAAGCATTTGCAAGTGAAAATAATAGAGACATATATCTCTGGTCAAAGGATTACTAACACATATTATTTATAAAGAATTATGTCTCAATTAGAGAGCTCTTTAGAATAACAAAAGGGGAGAGAAGCTTAGGAAGAAATCCAGTTGTGAATATATTTCTGTCTGCAAGCATTTTTGTCAAAACATGAGCACAGTCTTCTGTGCATTAAAAAGCACAAGATTTTGTTAGATTTTCAAAATGAACAGTGCCAGAGCTGTGAAGAAAATTTCTTGAAGATGAAGTATAGCCCAGCTGAATTTTGTAACAAGTCACTTCAGCATTTCTTCAGCTAGGACTTCATTTTACAAATTTTCAGGAGTTTTGTCTTTCCAAAAAGACAAGACACATGTAAACAATGCAGGGAACCATATTTCTGGCAAACATCTTTGAATGATCAGCCAGCATCCCTCGACACAACAGAAATTCTTTTGCCACATCAGTGCAGTCTCACTGGAGACTCACCAAAGTAGCTGACAGACAAATGAGTCCCAGTGCTATTGTTTGGTCTGTCTGGAGGTTATAAATGGGATAAGTCTGCAATGATTTACTCTGCAGAAGAGTTTCTCCTGATGAAAACAAAGTGTAGCAAACTCCTCATTGAATGGAAACTTTCTAAAGCTGTTGTGAACACAAGCAACTGCAAGCAACTGCATACTACGCTGAGAGTGGGCCAATAATTTTTTTCCAAGGAAATTGAAAATGTGGTGTAATATCGTGTGTACACCTCTACAAGACTGGAACTCACCTGTACTGGTGTGTCTGCAGAGGACTTCGTGTGCTGGCAGCTCTGAACGAGCTGGAACAGGGGGCTTGGTGGTCTGAAGGAAGAATCAAAGATTTTGATCAGATGAGGTGAGGATTTATGGCAATGCTATTTAAAGACAGCAGCAGACAGGGTGTACAGTGTGTGTGTGTGTGTGTGTGTAGTCACACAAACCTTTGGAGGACTGATCATTAGCTGGACTTGACACTGGAATAGTGGCCATGATGTTATTGAAACAGGTTACCACAGAAAACCCTTTAAGAAGCATCTGCATTTAAAAGGTCCATGTTTACAAGAGGTAGCCACACTGGTTTAAGTGCTGAGGTTATTTTCTACTTTACACATAGAGGACAACAGTGCTTGAGTGCAATACTTCAAGCAATTTTGACTTTTTCTTTTGTATCATCTTCTCAACTGGTTTAGTTCAGAGACTCTTTTCTGTTTAGTACTCTTTTTTTCCTCTGTCTCTAAAATGCAGGTGGTGCGACCATACCAGACGATGTCCAATCCCATGAGTAAGTTGACAGTGCTCAACAGTATGCATTCTCATTTTATTTTGGCTGACAATGGCACTACTGGTAAATATGGAGCAGAGGTGAAGCTTCGTAGACAGCTGGAAAAGCACATTTCACTTCAGAAGATAAATACAAGTGAGTAACACCTATTTTTTGCTTATGTTGTTTTATAATGGCAATTATGTCAAAGACAGTATGAGTTTAAATAGTCAATAAGGCCTGTATATTTTGGGGAGTGGTTCTACTGTCTAAAATGGTGAGCATGAACTAATAAAAGCAAATATTGGTGAATAAAAATAATAAAATTTTATTTTAGAGAACTGTGGGTAAAAATACAGCACAAATAGCTGAATTTGTTTCTAGTAAGTTTCAAACAATATTTCTCAAGGCTCTTCAAGTTCAACTTAGGTCTTTGGTAATCCCATCCCCTTAAAACTGTATACAGTTCTCGTCCCCTTTGTTTTGTAAAGAATACAGTGGAATTACTAAAGGTAAAGAAACGCGTGACTTTAAGTAAGGGAGAGTTTTTTATGATGAAGACTTTGCAGGTTGGAAGAGAGATAACTGAGGTGTATAGAGGTATAAATACTGCATCATCACAGGAGAAATGACTGGACAACTCGGGCAGTCCCAGAACTATTGATGTTTCAAGGAAGAGAGAGTATGCCATTGAAGTGTTACTATATGTTTGCATTATGTTTATTAGTTTTTCCTAGGCAGCTGTCATTAGCCACAGCCAGAGGCAGAATATGAGGTTAGATGGCTCTTTCACCTCATCTTGTATAATCATGACAACACATTCCATATCATGATCAGACTGACGCCCCAGTTTTTCTCTCAAAGTTACAAATTTTTTGATTCATAATCATGTACCACTTTCCTACGTAAAATGAAAAGTAAATAGTCACCTAAGTAAGCACTTCTGCTTGGATAAAATAAAAGATGATATCTCAGTATTGGTATTATTATTTCTGTACTGTACAGATGTTTAATTTAGATGGGGACCTAATTTCTTTCTAGATATTTTGGATTTTTTTTTTTCTGTTTACAATCATTTAGTTTTTAGAAACTTAGTGCTAGCAAAAGAAAAAAAAGGTCAGCTCTAGAAATTGAACATACGCCGTACATAGGGAAGAAATCTTCCTGCCAGGCAGGAAGATTTTTTTGTCTTACAAACAAAACTCAGTGTTGTATCTGCAAAAGCTACCTTTAGGAATGAAAACAGAACTCATTTTTCAAAAGTGATCATATGCACAGCCTTTCTGCTGGTAAGTCTCTGTAAACATGCAATTTTGAGGCTACGAGTGATGACAGTTTTCGTGATATAGGCCCTTGAAACTAGAATGAGATTAGGAAACATGTTTTAGACATCAGATGATAGTGAAGTACAGGCAGGCCCAATGGGGTGAACATAAATTAGCACATTGGTCATGTTTGATAAAGCTTTCTGTATGATCAGTGTAGTTTGTGCTTAAATTAAAATGGTGTGATACTTACACCTTTCAACACCACTGTATGAATTACATGCACTACAGGCTAATTTTTTTTTACAATATCAGAGTATATGTTGCTTTTTCTCGGAGAGTGGCGTATAGGTATGCACAAATGTGTGTGCATCCTAAGTGGTGTTTGCATGTCTGTGCATTTCCTTAACAGACGGAGATAGTTTGATCTAATCCTCTGTTGATGAGCAACAAAAATTCACATTTGAAAATGGCGTATATGATGTAATCAAGCTGTAGAAAAGTGTGCCATAAATAATAATTATTTTGAGGACATATAAAAGAAAAATATGAGCTTTTGCGGTTTACAGCACAACGTTGTGTTGTCAAAATCTTTATGTTAAAAAATAAATCTCTTTAGAGAGATTTAACCTAATTCAGGTTTCGAAAAGACATTTCTCTGTTTAAAAGTGATTGATGGATGAACCTCAAAACTTCAGTGGTTCAAGTCAAATGCTTGCCTGACCTCTTCAAACACCTACAAAATATTAAGGATTTCTCTTCTGTGGTTTCTCCCTGCAGCACCACCCCCACACCCCAGGAGCATGTATCTTACTTTTCTTTTCCCTTTCCTCTGTGACAGTCTCTCTATTATTTAACCTCTTCCTACCAAATCTCTCTTAAAAAAAACCGTTGGGTCTCACAACAGTTCTCCAAAACAGAAATGTGAGAGAATTGTTAAGAAGGAAGGTTGCTGGTAAGATTTGCACATCTTTGTCCAGTGACATCCAGAATGTTTCTGCCACATTTTGTTTTCCTCTGTTTTAAAAAAAGGTGACTGAGTCCTGCTCAGCCTCTAGTTAATAGAAAGGTGACCATATGGATGAGAGGAGGACCACCTGCCCTGTTGGGTCAGCCAAGCAGATGGCCACTTTCTGAATGCCTTTCCTTACCCTCATTCCTAGCAGAGCAATGGAGATCCTCGGCCCTGTGCATGCAGGGATGATGCTGCAAAGGCACCTTCATCCAAACAGGAGTGTGTGCAGCCCTGTCTGTCCTTACCATTTTCCAGTAGCGAGCATGGGCGGTGGAGAAAAACACTGCCAGCATCAGACTTTTCTTTGCTGAAGAGTCAGGAAAAGGTACACTTTTTAGCTAATCGCCAAACAAAAGAGTGGAGGGCTAGAAAACAGAACAGATTTAGGAACTAATAAACAGTTGGTCGCCTCTTATGTCACAGCCTGTCCCTGGACAATAGTACTGAAAGCAGATTTTATTCTTATTTTTAAGCCTATCTCGCTTTTACAGGCTAGGCTTGTCATTTTTTCTTATTTACTTCCCGTTGCTTCAACTGTATCTTTCTCCAGTGCACTGATAGCTCTCCTGGACATTGGGGATCACACACTATTCACAAAGGGAAGCTTCAGTCGTGTGCTTACCTATTAAAGACACGGAAAGAAAACGGTATTCCCTTGAAATAGATTAGGACAGTGGCAGTCTTTTTATAAAGTGTAAGGTTAAATCAGGTCATTAAGGATGGCAGATAATTCTGAAAGACTCAGATGTTTTTGTTCCTGGTATAGCATCACTCTCGGTCATTCAGCAGTGTCTATTCAGCATTCAGCAGTGTACTATTAAATAATAATAATAAAAAGCTTGCTCTGTGCCCCCTGTGAACACTCAAGATTTCATCGAATACTCTGTTTCCACTGTACATTTTTAGATTTTACTGGTTCCATAGCTCTCATTTTGTCCACAGCAGATATTCAGGAATTTTAAAAATGCTTCCCAGGCAAGCAGAGGGTACAGCTGCATTTGTGGATCAGTCTGAATCTGCAGGTTCAGGACAGAGTCTCCAAGTTGTGCATTTAGCTAGAGGTCAATTTTATGCTTCAATGCTCATGGCAGGTCTTTCTTATTTTCGCAAGTGGCGACTACTAACACAGCCCAGCAACCGTTTCTTGCAGTGAGCCGTAAGTTGGCTCAAACTCATGAAGTTTCAAAGTACAGAAATTTGTAGTAAGAAATGTTGAAAGTAAGATGAACTTTTCTAAAACTTTTTCAAGATCAAAAGGGAATATTGAAGGTGATCTGGTCAGAAATGTTTCTGGTTTCCAATTCACACGTTTGAGTCCTGGAGTTTTTGTAGGCATTTAAAGGCAGGGAGATCACCTTAAGATATGCTCTGGAAAGAAGGAAGAATATCTTTGTGATCATCTCTGCCATATGGTTTATTTGTACAACATTGCATGGATAATTTGACAGCTTATGTAAAAATTTTTACATTGAGATGTGGAGTTAAAACAATTTTAGTTCATCTCATTCAAAAAATATTGCATTAATGAGGAGGAAGTTTTCATGAGAAATGTACAAAGATTTTAAATACAATGAAATGTCCCAGGTCAAAAGGTGTGATTTTTCAGTGATGTAGTAAGCAGACTACAGCTGTGTTACCAGCTATGATGCTATGCTTATACTGTTTCTTGGCATGCAGGATTCTGTAAGCGTGTCAAGCTGACATAATTCACTGCTGCCAGTTTACTGATTTCTGATCACTGCTTCTGGAAGTGCTTGCAATGCTAAACTCTGTCTCACTGCCTTGAACACAAGGGTTCACAGCTATTTGTAGAATGATAGGTTTCACATGGGCTGGGACAGACAGCTGAAGGTCCCCAGTCTGTCTCTTCTGACAGCAGACTGTTGTCAATGCTAGATAAGCTTGTCCATAGTTTTGTTTAGCCAAGTCTGAAAACCTCCAGTAATGGATATTCAACCATATATATGGGCTCCAGCAAAATTTTTGGAAACTTGCCCACCCCACCATTAGTGTCTGACCTGGAGCCCCTAAACCGCTACTTGTGACCATTTTCCCCGCATGCGGCCTGGCCCTAGCAAGAAGAGTATGGGTCTAACACTTTTTAACAACCCTGCAGATAGTTGTAGGCAGGTATTAGATTCCTCCTTAGATTTCTTTTCAAAAGGTTAAACAAGCCCTGCTGTCTCAGGGGACCTCTCCTCCTCAGATACATGCTTTAGGCCGCTCTATAACTGAGCAGCTTTTCTCTGGGCGTTCGCCAGTTTCTCATCATCCTTCTTGAAGCCGACAGCCCAAACCTGAATCCAATACTTCAAATGCAGCCCCACTAGTGATGAACAGAGTGGGAGTGGGTTAAAAACTCACATCCAACACACTTCTCTAACGTAGCACAAGTGCACGTCTTGTTTTATGTGCACTGAGAGCATGCTGTTGGATCATATTCAGATTGGCACCCACTGTAACCGCAGGTCCATGACATAAGGATCTAGTTATCCAATTAGAATAAAAGTGCAAGTTTCACTCTGAACAGTGCAGTAAGTTACCTTGTTGGAATCCTTTTCCAAGAACAAACACAGCAAAATTGCAATTCATGTGGAATTTTTCAACTTTGGACTTCATTTTCCCAAAAATCACACAAGTCCTTATTGTCTTTGAGACCTAAAATAGTTTTCAGTTTAAAAAAAATGTGGTCTATTTTACTATCTTTATAAGAATAACTAAAAGTCATTAGGCATTCATCCTCAGGAGAGAATCTGCCATGATATTGTAGAACTAGCATTTAATTATTCTTTTTCTAAAATTCTTGTGCATCCCTCAAGCTCCTCTCATCTATAATATTCCTTGATTAAAGTCATTCTAAAGTCTTAATGTTTCAG